AGAGAGGAAGGGAGAGGGATAGAGAGTTAGAAACATCAATGAAAGAGAAACATCCATCAACTGCCTCCTGCACACCCCCTACTGGGGATGTGGCCGTAACCAAGGTACATGCCCTTGACCGGAATGGAACCCAGGATCTTTCAGCCCGCAGCCCCATGCTCTATCCACTGAGCCAGACCGGTTTCAGCGGGTGTTCTGTTTTGAATGTGGTGAATTCAGAAGCTCCGAGTGCCTCTAGAGGGAGACATCTCACATATTGCTGGAAACAGAGTTCTGTCGGTCAGAAGAGCCTGGGCAGTCCCACGTGCTTGGGACTGTGTGCGCCAGTGTTATCTCCGGTCCAGCAGCCCAGCAGCAGAGCCTGCCCCTGTGAGGGGCCTCTGGGTGAGGGAGACCCTGACTGATCACAGGAGAGCAGAGGCCGGGAGCCACATTTCTGTTCAACATCCCAACTCAGCAAGGCTGCTCCTGCTGAGTCCTCCAACATGCCCTGGGGGATGCTGAGCGAATATTTGAACAGAATTTAGTTCCTAAACCTGAGCCTCCCAGGTTCAAAACTTTAAACAGGAGAAACAGCCAAAACCGGTTTGGCTCAGTAGTAGAGCGTCGGTCTGCGGACTGAAAGTTCCCAGGTTCGATTCCGGTCAGTGGCATGTGCGTTGGTTGAGGGCACATCCCCAGTGGGGGGTGTGCGAGAAGCAGCTGGTCGATATTTCTCTCTCATCGACGTTTCTAGCTCTCTATCCCTCTCCCTTCCTCTCTGTAAAAATCAATAAAATATATATATTTTTAAAAATAAACAAACAAACAAAAAAATAAACAGGAGAAACAAGGTGAGGCAGCGTGGGCCTCACCCCAGGCCTGGGGTCGGCCTGGCTGTTCAGCTCTCAGAAGCACCTGGACAGGCTCAGGGTCTTCATGTTCCTGGACCAAGTGTACTCTCTCATCCCACTGATCCCCTTTCTTTGCTCCAACATAGCCTCCTTGTTTTGGAGTTACACATTTACCAGGGAAGTGTGGCCTCCTCATGGCTTGCTCACAAAGAGTGCCAGGCCTGTACCTCCCCCCACTACCAAACTAAGTGGTCTGACATCTGAGTGAGAAACGAGGCATCTGCCTGTGTCCAGGCATGAACAGACCCGCCGGGCTGTCTCTGCTCATCCCGATCTCTATCATAAAGGGCACATTCCCGAGGAGAGATACCGCGCAGTGCAGTCAGGGCTCCGGGTGCCCGGGGTGCTGATCTCATGAAAGGCAGTGGGAAAAGGAGCAATGCGGGCAGCAGAGGCAGCAAGGAACAGCTGACGAATGTGGCCATCAGTTCATCCAAGGCAAACCCTTGCAGAGGGGTCAGCAGGGCCCACCCTTCTCACTTCCTGGTTTCATGGCCACTCAGCCCCCACCTGAACTCTGAGTCACCAACCAGGGCTGTTAAACCAGGGGCTCCCTGTCCTGCCTCCAGCAGCCTAGTCAGTGCTAATAGCCTGCAGGGGAGAGGGCGGCCCCGTTGCACCATCTCCCCCGCGTGCAGGGAAGTTTCCAAACCAAAGCAACTTTTGAAAAATATTTTTTTTATTGATTTCAGAGGTAAAGAGAGAGAGAGAATCACTGACTGGCCGCCTCCTGCATGCCCCCTACTGGGGATGGAGCCTGCAACCCAGGAATGTGTCCTTGCCTGGTATCAAACCTAGGACCCTTTAGTCTGCAGGCTGACACTCTATCCACTGAGCCAAACCAGGTAGGGCCAAAGCAAGCTTAACACTTAATGCCTGCAGCTTTGGACATTAAGGCCACAGCAAAGCGTGGTGACCAGGGCAGTCATGGGATGGGGGCTTCTACCAGCTGGTCAGTGTGACCCCGTGGTGGGAGGTGCCCCTTCCTGTCTCCCACGGGCTTAAGCTGCTCCCACTGCCCCCACATCAGGTGACCAGCTGCTTTGGGTGATGCTGCTGGATAGTGGGTCTCTGTCCAGCTACTCTTCTGGAACCACAGGCTCTTTTACCATCTACCATCCCTGATATTTCCCAGGCCCCACTCATCCAAGTTCCCCTCAAGTCTTTCCCTTTTCTCCGTCCTCTCCCCCCTCTCTGCATCTCTCCCTCCTTATGGTGACCTTCTCCTCCCTTTCCTGCTGCCAGAGGACTGAGGCCACCTTTCCTCCCAGCACAGTGGTCAGGGGCCTGACTAGCAGGTCTCTCTCTGAATCTACAGGGAGCCCAGAGGTCCAAGCCCCTCCCTGTGGTGGGGGGAGGAGGAAACACTTTCTACTCCTTCCTAGTGAGCCACCTCCCCACCTCCCCCTCCCACCACAGAAATTAAATGGGGTGGGGGGCGTGCTTCTTACACACACACACACACACACACACACACACCAGAATGTCAGCTTACAATAAGACAAAGACTCAAGCAAATTATCCTATCTAATAAAGAGGGAATATGCTAATTGACCATCACTCTGTTACAAAGATGGCTGCACCCACAGCTGAGGCCAAGTTCCCATAAGGAGCCTTAATGAGCAATCAGCAGGGACCTGAGGCTACTCCCTCCCCCGCCCCCGTGGGGCTTGGCGGGGGACCTCAGGGTGTGCTTCCCATCCTGGTGCTGGGCAGGGGGACCTCAGGCTTCTTCCCCACCGGGTGGGCTTGACTGGGGACTTCAGGCCACGCCCCTGACCCTGGCACCAGGCCGGTGGACCTCAGGCCGTACCTCCCTCAGACCCCCCCTCCCCCCTTTCCAGCCCCAACACTGGGTCAGGGGATCTGAGGCTGCACGCCCCTGCCTGGCAGGGCTTGACAGGGGACCTCAGGCCAAGCCCCCCACACAGCAGGACTTGACGGATGCCCTGAGGCTGCACCCCCTTTTCTCCCCACCTGGCAGAGCTTGACGAGGAACGTCAGGCCCTGCCCTCCACCCAGCAGGGCTTGTCAGAGGATCTCAGACCATGTCCCCCACCTGGCGGGGCTTGATGGGGGACCTCAATGTATGCTCCCTGCCCCAGTCTGGGCTGGGGGACCTCAGGCTATGCCCCTCATCCTGGCACCAGGCCAGGGGACCCGAGGCTACGCCCCGTCCGGTGGGGTTTGACAAGGGCGGGACGAGCTGGGTCTGGATCCAGCCCAATGGGAGGCCAGCCAGGTCTGGGTCTCACGGGATTTTGAGGTGCATGTGAGTGGGCGGGGACTTGACTCTGGGTCCTGTGGTGAGTCCCAGACTCTGACAGGAGGAAGGTTTTCATATATATTTTACTAAATTTCTTTCATCTCTGACACTTCCATTATAAAGGGCAAATAGCAATATTAAATTATTTCCTCTAATTAATCCTTTAAATGTGCACCAGGCCACTAGTAACTAATAAGGTTCAGCAAGTTTTCTAGTAGCTGTTGGGGGTGGGAGAAATGCTGTTAATTTGTGCGCTCAGCCTGCACAGATTAACAGCATCTCCCCCCCCCCCCCCCCAACAGCTTCTAGAAAATATTACTGAAAGGAAATCTTTCACAGTAGCAATAAGGATCACAAAATATCTGGGCATTAACACTAAAACCGCTATATAAAATTTAAAAATGATCTGAATAAGTACAGTACTTCCCATGCTTTTGTACTGGATGGCCTAATATAGAATGCCTCATCTTGGATGGCTTTAAGACCTAATTAAATTAATGATAAACCTACAAAGTTAGTGCAATTCCAAAGTTCCATTCAAAATTAAAATTGGATTTCCTTTTTGAGAAACTCAATATATCATTAAGGTAATGTTATTTGTTTTGTGTGTGTTTTTTGCTTGTTTTTGTGTCTGTTGTACACAGTTTATTTAACAATCTAAGAAATGAGTTGGTACTTTACCTGTAATGATTGAATCTTCCTGCATTTTCTTATCTATGGTAATGATAGCACTAGCATGATTGACACTAGAACTGTTTTTCCTCACTTCAAGTTTCACAAAGAAGAGAGAATGCTCGTCTTTAGTAACATGAGCATGGGCTCAGAGAGTGGTCATCTCTATTTTTGTCTGAAACCAGTTTTATGAGAAACAAAGCAACATTCTCTACATCTGCCAGATAAGAGTTTATCTTAAACCAGCACGTACAGATGCATGTGCAGTGTGTGAGTGCACGTAGGAGCCGATTCCTATCGTCCAGGGGAAATAATCTGAGAACGCCCAGAGTACATAACAGAAAAAAATCTCCCACAATGCCAGAAAGTTGTCAGGATACACTATAAGCCTGCATTACTCAGGAATCAGTTTCTGAATATTACCTTTCTTCTCTTTTAAACATAAATGTTTAAAAATCTTAAAAATAAAATAATGAACTTTTTTCCCATTAAAAAAGGCATGAGTCACCAGCAATGACCCCTCCCAACAGAACAAAAAAAATTTTTTAAAGGGAGAGACCAGGTATTTAAATCAACTAGTTTTTAACAAAAACCTATGCTTTTTATTGTTTCTTTAAATAGCAGTCTACCCTTCTGTGGCTTGGAAGTAGCAGTTCCATCTAGGAATAAAAAGCCTAGATTCTTGGCTTTCAGTACAAAGGGTCCAAGAACATGAGAGGGGAAAAAGTGATGCCCTCACCATGCTACAAATCCTCCACAAACTTTTCTAGGGATCTGCTGTGGTGTCACCCACCGGGGACAGCTCACCGGGCAGTGCCCTCCTGTGGGATCCTCAGCTGAGGTAGCACTGCGTGTCTGGGGTTCCCCACGGGCCCCTGATCTATGGAGCGGGCCATGGTGACTGGGAGTGCTGGGCGGGGAGAACCAGTCTGGGGGGAGACGGTGTGGTGAAGGCTGGGGCGAATCCGTGGTGATGGGCTGGAATGTGGAGGCTGGGACTGGGGTCTGGAGACTGGACAGGGGCCGGAGATCGCACCTGGCTACCGAGGGGTGTGGCCGTCTGCTGGCCAGCGAGGGGGGCATGTGGCTCTCTGAGGGCATGTGCCGCTGGGGCTCTTGGGGTTTGTGAGGCCCGTGCTGACAGGAGACAGGCCAAGAGATGATGTGAGAGTTTTAGAAATTTTATTATTAACACACACTAGTATATCCATTTCAGCAAGCAAGAGTAGGGAGGGTGGGATATTTATGTGTCTGTGTGGGACAGATGTAGGTGCAGGCGGTGGCAGGAAGCTGGGTATAGAGCTGCTGCTTTTCTCAGCTGCTTAGCTGTCTCCTGTTACACCTGAAATGAGAATAACAGGAAAACGGCAGAGGGGGCAGGAGCCTCAAGCAGGGACAATCGAAAGTACTGAGCGCAGGGGAGAAACTGAGGGCAGAGGGCAGGGTAAAGGGACACAGTATGCCCAACAGGGTTTGGGTGGCCTGGGACCCAATCTGCGGCTGGATCGGCTGCTGCTGCATGGCTGCGGGTGGCATCAGCGCCCGAGGCTGCTGGGACTGGGCGTGTCCTGCCCGGCCTGCAGCCATGCCAGTGCTGCCTTCTTGCTGCTGCTGCTCCGCAGCATCTCTCTGTCCTGTGCTTCACACTCGACACACTGGGATGGCGCCCCGGGTTCATGATGTTCAAGGCCTGGCCCTGGGGGATCAGGCCCCCCATTGCTTGCTGCAGCGGAGAGACAGCAGGTCACGGCTGTTCAGGTTCTGCAGGCTGGGCTGGAGCTGAAGTTTACTGGGGGGGGAGGAGGAGGGAAAGAGGGGGTCCCCCCTAAGTTCTGGCCATGCTGAAGAAGCCGGCTAGTGACATTCTTACAAAAGAAGGCTGGGACTGAGTCGGAGGCTGTGATGTCTGGGGAGCGTTGGGCTGCTGCATGGGTGTCCAGGGTGGGGCTGAAGGCGGGGAAGGCAGACTGCTGAGGCACATTTTGGGTGTTGACGGTGGCAACCGCTGGCGCATGAGCTACCCTTGGGGCAGGTGGTTCCCGAACCGCTGCTGGCGGAGCTGGAGCCGCCGCTGGCGGAGCTTCTGCTTGATGTTGAGGCAGAGGGGAACGATGCACGGGTTTTCCTGGCAGTGCTTGGCGTGGTGGCAGCACAGGGCGATGAACTGCTTGCACACGGGGCAGCCTCCGTTGGTCTTGCGCTGGCAGCTCCTGGTGTGCAGCACCACCCGCTTCATCTTCTGGCAGTCCTTCTGCGAGCAGGCGGCGTTGCGGCACTGGCGGGCGTGCTTCAGGGACTGGATGCAGCGCCGGATGGCCAGCCGCCGGCACTCCCGGACGCTCATGGGGCACTCATCCAGGCCCAGCCCCACCTTCACCATCTCGTGGGGGTGGTCCTTGGCGGTGTAGCAGTGGACGCAGAGGTCGTAGGCCTCGCACTCAGTGCAGTGCCAGCGGGTCTCCACCTGCTGCTGGCACTCACTGCAGGTGTGGACGCCGAGGTCCTGGCCCTGGCCGTGCAGCTCCCCCGCCATCGCCAAGGTGACTCTAAAAAAGAGCAGAGAGAGGAGAGCCTCGGTCAGCAAACACCTACAGAACCTCAGAAATAACAGGGTGGTGCCGGCTCTGTCAGAGTCAAGCCAGGGCCCCAGGGCAGAAACGCCATTTCACCTGCACACTTACCTTCCCAGCGGGCCACTCCACAAGTCACGGGTTTGTCGGGCTACTTGCTACACTCCTACGTCCTAACAGGTGCGCCTAAGGAACAGCCACACGAGCACCTTGGGGTCCCTGAGTGACCGGGATGAACTACAAAGAGGGGGCTCCGTGGAGAGAACGGCACTGGCTGCCCCACAGGCCGCGCGGTGTGAGCTTCCTCCTAAAGTAAGGTGACCAGTCGTCCCGCTTTTAGCGGGACAGTCCTGATCCTTAACAATTTGTCCCGCGTCCCGCAGCGTTTTTAAAAAGTCCGAAAGATTTAAAAGAAGATTCTTTCCAAAAATCGGGACTTTTTTAAAATGCCACGGGACATCTGGTCACCTTATCCTAAAGTCAGCGGCAGCTACCATGCCTGGGAGTGAGACACAGGAAGCAAAGGCAGGAAACTGAGGCAGGCGGGTGCACAAAGCACCGGGCGCTGTCTCTTCCCAGGAGAACAGTTGTGTCGCTACTGAGAGGACCAGCTCCCACCGCCAGAAGAGCTAAGGGGATGCACTCAGGCTGAGACCAAACACCAAGGATTCCACCAAACAGCCCCATTCTGAGCATCCAGCAACTTTTACCCCTACGAACCCACCCAGACGTTCAGCTCGCCTACTCTCTTAGGCCTGATCAAACAACCTCAGAAACTGTCCTTTAGGTGATTTGGCCTCTGACAGTCCCTTCGGCTTAGACCACATTCCCTTGGCTAAGACCTGTCGCTTTTCCAGGGTCCTGACCCGCCCAGAGAATTTCCCGCAGGAAAAGCCCCTTTAGAGTCTTAAAATCTCTGACTCCTCTGTCCCTGGGTGCTGGCACCATTGGGGGGTCAAGCCCATCTGCTTTCCAGAAGAGGATGATCAATTAATTTATAATTCTCTATCACGTTGGCTCTCGTGCCCGTTAGGTCTGATCAAATAATCAAATTGATACCCCTCCCCCGGCAAACTGACCTAAAGATCATTTTGCAGCCGACATTCCCTTCAGCTTAGACCGCATTCCATTTGCTAAGACCCAGTCACTTTCCCCTCCGGACCCGCCCAGAGAACTCTCGTCGAGGAAAAAGCCCCCCTTTAAAGTCAGAGTCTTTAAAAACTCTGACTCCCGGATCTCCGAGTGCTGGCACCATTTTGGAGTTCAGCCCATCTATTTTCGAGATGACCTAATAAACTCATAATTCCTTACCACTTTCGGCCTCGTGCAGTTCCTCCTTCGCTCCTTCAGCGACCCTCAGGAATTCCTAAAAGCACTGAGAGAAAACTTGAAGAAAACTATGGCGTAACTTCCTGGTTCCTCTTCGCTGTTAAAGACAGAAATCCGGAATCCCTCCGCCCCCTTCGCCGCCTCAGCCTCCTTCGCTGTCCCGCCCCTTCCTGCCCCCGCCTTCTTCGCTGCCTCAGCCTCCTTCGCTGTCCCGCCCCTTCCTGCTTCCGTCCCTTCGCGGCCTCAGCTCCTTCCTCTGTCCCGCCCCTTCCTGCTTCCGCCCCTTCGCTGCCTCAGCCTCCTTTGCTGCCTCGCCCCGCCCTGCTCCCGCCTCTTTCACTGTCCCCGCCCCTCCGCGCCCCGCCCCTCCTTGCTTCCGCTTCCTTCGCTACCTCAGGCACCTTTGCTGCCTCCTCCCCTTCCCGCCCCCGCCTCCTTCGCTGCCCCGCCCCCTTCACCACCGCCCTACGCCGGGATCTCCAGAAGGACGCGTGTGCCAGTTATGCCGCAATTAATTAATTATCTGCCTAGACTTAGTGAGACATACGCAGGTGATCATGGGTCAGCAATAACGGCCTATCCCCTGGCACTTCAATGTCAGTTGAGCCGATCCGGAACACATGAACACACAAGACAGAATTAGGATGCAGTCACACATGGCTTATTTAGCTGTTCCTAGTGAGTCCTAGGCTTCAGCAAAAGCCACCGACAGACGGAGACGGAGACAGATGGGCCGCCGCAGTTGGTTCAGGCTCGCAGAGCAGAGCAGTCAGCCAGGGGCTGGTTTCATGGGGCGGCTGGAGTCCCCCTCCATCAGGCAGGAGCCAGCACTGAAGATGGTCTGGTGCTTATAAGCCGGGGTGAACTACTGTGTCCTATTGGTGTGGGCCCGAAGCTGTGCCTTACGCTAGGAGCAGGGTGTTTACACTTTAAGGCAGGGGTGTCGAACTCAATCAGAGAAGGGGCCAAAATCTAAAATCCAGCCTAAATCGCGGGCCGAATGGTTTACTGAACAGTCATAAACTGACAATGTTAACCAGAAATGTGAATTTAAAATGAGTGGAACAATCTTTTCCTTAACAGTGCTGTTAACCAACTCACATGCTATCAAGCAAAACAGTAATATTGGTATCAAGCAAAACAGTAATATTGGAATGTACCTAAAATGCTCATTGTTTTGTTTTCTGGCTAGATGTCTGACACCGTTTTCCCCGGATCAATGAGTCAATGTTCGGTTTTATTTCTTGGGCTGTAGCAACCTGCAAAACAGCATGGAGGTTGTCATCGGTAATGCGTGATCTGTGCTTGTTTTTGTTCAGATTCATTATTGAAAACATCTGTTCACAAAGATAGGTGCTCCCTAACATGGATAGAATACGGGCAGCATGAAGTCGGAGCTCTGGCATTGAGTCAGGGGGCAGTAGAGGGTAGAAGTCCTCAATTTCAACATCCTGAAGCCTTGATTTCAGGCCACTGTCAGACTGAAGCTCGATTATCTCCATCTGAAGGTGATGGGGCACATTGTTGACATCAACTGTAAAAGGATTGGCAAAGATGTCAAAGCCTGAGTGCTGTGTTCTAAAGTCAGAGAAGCGCCGCTCAAATTCACTTAGTAAACGGCTAACTTTGGTAGCCAGCCGACTGCAAGGAAAAGTACCAGAAATAGTGGTTGAGATACTCAAACAAACGGGAAAGTGGGCAAGATTGTCCTGTTCCAGTTGGGACTTCCATAGTTGAAGTTTACGCTGGAATGCTGTGATCATGTCAGACATCTTCGTGATGACTTGTTTGCGTCCCTGCAGCTTCAGATTCAGTTGGGCGAGATGCTCGCATATGTCACACATCATAGCAAAATCACATAGCCAGGTGGGATCCGACAGTTCAGGCAAGGGCTTTCCTTTACTTTCCATGAAAAGAGCAATTTGTTCTCTGAGCTCAAAAAATCTTTTGAGGACTGCGCTCAGCCATCTTGCTTCTGTGTGGTATGGCACGTCTCCATGCTCTGCACCCACCTCCTGTAAAAACTGCTGGAACTGGCGATGATTCAGGCCATGTGCCCGTATAAAGTTAATAGTTTTAATGACTGTGGTCATTAGGTCATTCATGTCCAGAACTTTTCCACACATAGCCTCTTGGTGGATAATGCAATGATAAGTAATCAAGGGTGTGTGGCAGTGACTTTTTTGCATTCTTTCCTTCATTAGTCCAACCAAGCCTTTCTTTTCTCCGCACATTGAAGGTGCGCCATCAGTAGTTAGCCCCACCAACTTTTCCCAGGGTAATTTAAAATTATTTATAGATTTCTCCACAGCCTCAAATATATCTCTACCAGTCGTCGTCCCATGCATGGCAGCTACATCCAAAAGTTCCTCAGTGACAGAGAGGTCGGTCTTCGTAGCACGTATAAAGATGGACAGCTGCGCTGTATCAGTGTTGTTTGTGCTTTCATCGATAGCAAGTGAAAAAGCGAGATAACTGCATGCCTGTTCGGCCAGCTGTGATGATAGATTTCCTGAGAGTTCTTGAACTCTATCTGCAATGGTGTTTCTTGACAAACTGACATTTTGAAAACTCTGTATCTGGTCGGGCATACTTGCTCACACACTTTTAGCATGCATTGCTTCAAAAAGGCACCCTCTGAAAAACATCTTGAAGTACGGGCAATTTCTTCAGCCACTATAAAGCTTGCTTTCACTGCAGCATCATTTTTCGCTGTAGCCTTTGTAAACATTTGCTGCTGTGATTGTAGTTTGCCTTTTAGTTCTTTAACAGTTTTATGCTTTTCTTCCAAAGTATATTTGCCATACTTAACATTATGTTTGGTGTCAAAATGACGACGTATATTGTACTCTTTCATCACCGACACTGTCTCATAACACAATATACACACTGGTTTGCCCTCTCTAAGCACAAACATGTATTCATTTTCCCATTTGTCATTAAATTGTCTGCCTTCACCGTCAACTTTTCTTTTCCTGGACATTTTGGGATCAATATTGGCAGTAAAAGATGTAGTTTATTGGAAATCTGCGTTAGAAGGAAAAAGTTGAAAACTGCACAGGGATAGCTTGATTTGGCAGATGGAGTGGAGAAAAAAAAAAAAGTCAGTCAATAAATGCCTGGCTGGGTACAGATAGCAGATTCTGTTGCGATTTTTATGCCTGCACTTTATGCCAGGAACTGGCAGCTTCTGCTGTGTATTTTTTATGCCCACACACTCACTTTCTCCTCTGCTCTGCCACCCGCACAACCACATCGGATGCCGGACTATAGGTCACGCCTCCTGAATCTCACGTGACTTGTTATCTATACGCATGCGTAATAGATAGCAAGTACTGTGGCCGGGCGAGATCACAAGCCTCCTATGTCACCGTGCGTCATTGTGATGGAACGCAGCGGAGTGCAGTGATGACAGCGCGGTGCGGGCCACATTGCAAGGCCTGGCGGGCCGGATTTGGCCCGCGGGCCTTGTGTTTGACATGTGTGCTTTAAGGGCTTAGGCGTTCACATCAAGATAGTGGGGCATTCACCATGTTTATAACATTTTGGAAGTTACAGAGTTTTGGGGTCACCACATAGCAAACATTTTACACATTAGAGGGGTTTCCTTATGACCATAACACTATAACATTCCACCCAGTGGTCTCGAAGGGACACATAGGGAGGGGAATCCGAGGGGGCCAAAATTAATTTTGTTTATTATTTCTGCAGCCTACTAGTCTAACGAAGAGGGAGAGGAGGTAGATAATGGCTTAGAGAAATAAAATGGTTTTAGCTGTTTGCCAAGCAGAAGTGAGGGAGTTCCATCCTTTTGGGGTGGAATAGATGGGGGTAAAAAAATTCCAGTGTGGGGTTCAAGGTACAAACCTCCAGACGGTGGTCCCAGAGTCACGGTGTTTGTCGAGATCGGCCAGGTCCACAGCTGTGTTGAGGGTCATGCTGTTTAGTATCAGCAGCAGGTGGTTGATGGCTTTTGATATTGCTCCAAGTTTCTTGATGGTGTCATCAGAGTGTTTCTGGAGTTCTTTTTAACATAGAAATGGTGATATTAATGGAAATGGGGGTGGTATAATGCTTCTGTATTATACACAATCTGTAATTGTGTAAGAGTGTAGGGAGATTTAGGGTAGAGTATCCAACTGGGTGTTCGCTGCCTATTGTATTGTAGAAAGAATAGTTAGACGAGAATAAATTGCAGCCAACAGGTTTAGAGAAATCAACCATAGCGGCTGAATCACTCCAGGTTGGGAGGGGGGTGAATGGTGGGGAAGGAAAGTCAGAGAGTTCCGCCAAAAATTGATTCAGTTGCTGTTCCAGTTGGGAGAACGGAGTGTTTCTAGAAAAAAAGATAGAAGGGGGTAGGGAGTAATTACTTGTAAAAGATACAGAGGGTGTGGTTATAAATTGAGGAGCAAGTATCTAGTAGTTAGTGTAGAAACTCGCAGACCTTAGTCTCACTTGTTTTATTATTAGCGGGGAACAATTATGGTATGGACACCACATACAGTGGAGGGTCAACGGAATCGTCAAAAGTATGATAGGGAGGAGGAGAGAGAGGAATATGCAAGTGCAGGCGATCCTTAAATTCATTATTAAAAAGAAATTTAATCCGAAAGTATAGTGTAATAAAAGTGAGGACTGAAGAAAATATAAAAATCTGAGATAAAGTATTGATGTAAGGTATGTATCATGTCCTAGGACTGGTATCTTCTATTCTGGTCTGTTGGAGATGTCCTGAATCATTAACTGTCCAGAATAGGGATGATCTTGAGTGAGTGATTATTTCCTGTGGAGATAAGGAGCCATCCTTAGTGGATTTAGCCAAGATTTTATAGGGAAGTTTTTTAGATGAGTTTGGCGGAGGTATGTGATCAGCAATGGGGTTGTTAAGGACATGTGGTTGGAGTAATTTTTAAAATATATTTTATTGATTTTTTACAGAGAGGAAGGGAGAGAAATAGAGAGTTAGAAACATCAATGAGAGAGATACACCCCCCACTGGGGATGTGCCCGCAACCAAGGTACATGCCCTCGACCAGAATCGAACCTGGGACCCTTCAGTCATCAGGCCGACACTCTCTCCACTGAGCCAAACCGGTTTCGGCTGGAGTAATTTTTTTTTTTTTTTTTTTTTTTTTTTAATGGGGGAGAGTCTGTTTACTCTAGGTCTGGAATTTAATTGTAGACATGCCAGATTAAGGAGTTCTTGTTTAAAATGTTTTAAATGATCTGTCTATGAGGAGGGTCTGCATTTTATATTTAAGAAGACCATTATGTCTTTCTATTTGTCAGGCTGCCTGTAAGGCAGGTGGAAGGTCCAATCAATATCTAATCCTTTAACATGTTGCTGTACCGCCGAGGCTGTAAAGTGGGTGCCTTGGTCTGATTCAGTAATTTGGGGTGGGCCATAAAGGGCAAACCATGTGGTGAGTGCCTTAATGGTGGTTTTGGCATGTGGGCGCCTTGAGGCGTAAGCATAAACTATGCCAGTTGCTGTGTCCACTATAGTGCATGCATATTTGTCCTGAAAGGGTACATGCAAAGGTCCAATGAAGTCAATGTGTAGGACCTAATTAGGTATAAATGGCTTGAATAATCTAGGTGGGGTGAGAGATTTAAAGGTATATGTATCTTTGCATTGTTCACAGGAGTTAATTGCTTGTTTAAGGAGTTTAATGGGTGCCTTCAAGTTTCTTTTAAGGAACCAATGGGCTAGTGGGGAGTGTCCTAAATGTCCTAAAATAGAATGTAGCTGTTGTATAAATTGTGTGTGACTGTGAGTTCTGATGTAGATGGGAATAATTGTCATTTTCTTTCCTAAATTTAAGATGTCGCTGGGTTGAAGGCTGCTGCTCTCCATTCGCACTGGTCACCAGTTACGGAGGCTGATCTGTCTGTAAACCAGGCATTTTAAAGCTTAGGACTCTATTGTGGCCCTTTCACACCGATTGGATCAGGTGGTTGAACAAACTTGTTGGCACAGATAGGTGGTTCTACCTCAAGTTCGTTGACCTCCTCAGTGAGAAGGGCTGGTTCACTGGAGCCAGAGGTTTCTCATGTGTGAATGTACCACTTCCATGCAAGAACCTTTTCATCAATTTGAGAACCTGCTGATTCTTCAGCTGACACTTAGAGCCATGCCTTAAGGGGCAGTGTGCTGCTCACGGTTATTGGGTTAAGTCCGGTCAGCGGCTCTGCATGCAACAGAGCCACATATAGTGTCCAGATTAGTTTCTCAAAAATGAGAGAATTTGTGGTAAGAGTAAGGGAATCTCTGAGTCCAGAATCCTACAGGCATTCTTTTTTTGTCTTCTGTTCCTCTTTTGTATAGTCCCCAACTGCCATGTTCTGTCATGAAACTAATATCTAGTACTATTTTGTCCCCTGGTCTGATACTTTGTAGGGATTGAAAGTGGTGTAAGCAGTCCTTTAATTGTTTAAATGCTTGTTCCTGTTCTTGGGTCCATATGAAATCTACTGCCTTCCTGGTGACTTTGTGTATGGACTTTGCAATGTCAGCTAGGTATGGTATGTGTTGTCTCCAGTACATGAGATGTTCCATTAATTGTTGTGCTTCTGTTTTGTTGGTTAGGTAATATGTTTTTTACTTTGTGGCCCTTTCACACCGATTGGATCGGGTGTATAAATTGTGGTGTGAGTGTGAGTTCTGATGTACATGGGAGTAGACGTCTCTTTTGATTGGTTTGGGTGTTTTTAGGGCTCTAGGGGTGCTCTATGCTTTTGCAGTCCTCTATGCTTTTGCATGGGGAGTGAATATTTCTTTGATTCCTTTGCTGTGAAGGCGAATTTTTTTTGTATTGACAATCATAATTTTATTTCTGTAATGAATTTCTGTAATTTAAAAGATGGTACTTAATGAGCAAATATTATACACAGCTATTTTAAAAAGGCATCTATGTTTATGAGTGCCTCTAAAATATAGAGAAAAATTAAATCTTGCTTTTCTGATTGTCTGATACACTCAATAAACTAAAATACTTTTATAAAGAGCAGTTTTGTAATAATTATTAGAAACATCTTTTTACCAAAGAAACTGTAGAACCAAATCTCAGTAACCTTCAGGGAAGATAGTAACATTGACTCCAGGATCATCGTCATGTTCAAGTTCTTTATCATTGACTTCAGTAACACATTTGCCACATGCTTTTTCTCTGTTTCTTTTTTTCTTACGAGAATATGAATTATTGTTCTTGATGATTTTCTCTTTGGGATGTAAGTCAGTAATTCTTTCTCTTTCCAAAGCATGTTGTAGGCAGTTGTAAAACCTGCTCCACCATCCCGCTGTGGCTGACACACGCCTACCATGTTCCACGCTCTGCTGCTTGCTGCCAACGCCTGCCATGGTCTGCGTGCTCCCTTTCCATTCTCTTCTTGTTTTCATCCACTTTTTGATTTGCTGCCTCTAGTAGGAAGTCGACATATTCCTCTGTTACCATCAGTTTTCCCTTCTGGCTTAATGGAACCTCTAAGCCACGTGTGCTCCGGACAGCCAACATAGTCTCTCCTCTCTTTCCCACTGTGATGCCCGAGCTCCTGAAACCAGAATCCATCGCCACAGATTTTGCAACTCTCGACCCTGCACATGAGGAATAAGGGGTTCAAATTTCAAAATGGCATCACCATTCGCTTTTTTCAGAGCTACAATAGCATCGCCTTTTACACAAGGCATGTGTGTACCTAGGAGCCAGCAACAGTTTTGTTTCTGAACCTCAAAGCCATGTATATCGAGGAGGAGGATGCGCAGGAGCTGGTGGTAAAACACCATTCTCGCGCATTCAGGAGCTGCACAAGCTCAGCCACATCCTGGTCCACACTGTCCTTCCGGCTGAGGTCCGCTCTGCTCAGACACTGCGCCTTCCATCTCCTGAACTCCGCGCTGCGATCCACGCGGGAAGAGATGTGGGATCTGCCCGTTCCCCGTGGCCCTCGCCTTCCCTGGGGGCAGCCATATTGAAGCGAGGAGTGCGGGGGAAGGTGAAGGCGAATTTCTTTTCTGCTAATGTTACGGGGAGACCCGCGAATGACGACCACCAGTCAGCCAAATTGGAATTTAGGAAGCCTTTATCACGAACTAGAGTCCGGGCTCACGTCTCAACTGACACAGCAGCGAGCAACGAGAGCCCTGACCCACTCTAAGCATGCTACTTTTATCCCCGTCTTAGGGATGCCTGGCAGATTATGATTGGCTAAAAGTTTTAACAAAGAAACGTCACTTATAAGTTATAGAAAAATTCCACTAGTACCGTAACATTTAAAGTTTATACAACACCTGGGTTGGGGGTTTATTTTCAGCTTAAGCAGTCTCTGTTTGACCTGGTTTAGTCTGTTTGTCCTGCCTTGCGGCCACTGGAAACAGTACGTGCCTGCCTGGGGGTTGAGCCTTGCAACAGAACTACTTATGACTAACTGTTATGCTACATTCTTTGTTGTGGGTCTGGTTGCTCGGACCTTCCCTGGCCTGGAGTCCTGCCTCGACAGGGTCTTGCTAGCCATCTGGAGCCCTGCCTCCACTGGTCTTGCCGGCCACAACACTAACAGGTCTTGGTGCAGTTGGATTTTCTTTTTAACATCCTCTGCAGTGCTGGACCCTGCAATGAGGTTTTGAAGCTGCGTTTTGTAGCCATCGGGGGCATTTCTTACTAGTACTTTGACTATCCCTTCTACATCTGAATTTTCCCATGGCGTGTTCAAATCTGGTTTATTGAGGCTAGTTAGAATCACCAGTTTCCTTAATTGGGTCTGTAATTGTGTAAGAGATTCTGGAAACTGTCCTGAAGACAGGTCCAGTGATGGAAATGCTCTTCTCCATGCATCTCCTATCCAGCTCCATAAGGATCTGACTGTATCTGAGTGCTGTTCTGCAGTTTCCCTTAGTGCTGTTTTTAACTTGGCCAATTCTAATGCATCTTTCACTGCTGTGAGTTCATCTGCACTTAACATAGACATGTGGCCTCAAAGTTCATATACTTTTACAAGCCACTCGATGTCTGTTAATTCTCCTTGAATCAATAGTTTTCTGAGTTCTGCTAGTTCCTGCCTTGAAAGTGAGGTGAATTCTACTGATTGCTCAGTTGGTTCATTTTCTGATTTTATTACCTTCTTTTTTACTATTACTGGCTTGCTGGAGTATTTTGCAACTACCTTCTGTGCTAGTGATCGACCCTAGTCAGTGTCCTCCTGCAGGGGATGGATTGTTTGTAGTGATATTACTGCTACCTCTTGTGGTGGCGCTCTTTCTATTATTGGAATCAGATTGTTAGGATCTACTATGTTTTGTTTCCGCCTCACTCAGCACCATGCAGAAGGTTCAAGACTTCTTCAACAAGCTTTTCAAAACATAGTAGATCCTAACAATCTGATTCCAATAATAGAAAGAGCGCCAAAACAAAACATAGTAGATCCTAATAATCTGATTCCAATAATAGAAAGAGTGCCACCACAAGAGGTAGCAGGAATATCACTACAAACAATCCATCCCCTGCAGGAGGACACTGACTAGGGTCGATCACTAGCACAGAAGGTAGTTGCAAAATACTTGGTCCGTACCTACCAAACGGACAGAATCCTTGTGTATGCGATGTGTCCCTATTGCCGTATGTGGTTTCTAGATGGAGAGTGTGTTAGTTTCCTTAGAAAATTAGGGAGAGTTTTAGCTAGCTTCTTCAAAATTTTGTTCATAAATTAGGCGCTGCTGTAAATTTATTCTTCAAAAAGTTTCATTTTCCTTTTACTTTCAGTTTCCTTTAGTTCCTTTAATTTGAAGGGAAGTTTCGATTTTGGACCCAACGTGGGTGACCCAGTTATGCTCTGGTGTAGAGTCTTCGGATTGGGAATAGGTCGGTTGGTGTAATCTGCCAACTCGGCTCTGCTTGGACAGAGAGACTCCAGGACCCTCATGCATTTGCCATTCGGGAGTCAGCTTCTCCTGGGTATGCCTTTGCGGTGGACGACCTCTGACCCATGACCTTAGAGCTAGTTTGCTTTTGGTTGGTGCCAGGTTAATTCCCTTTACACTCGGTGGTCATTTCCTCAATACTCTGACCGAAACCTGAGTGTTTTTGCCAATTTAAATAATTATCTGCCTGTGCTGTGGAGAAATTTGTTTTGGAATCCTGCCAACTATGCCATTGTCCCAATTATGCCCTAATTAATTAATTATCTGCCTAGACTTAGTGGGACATACGCAGGTGACCAGGGGTCAGCAATAATGGCCTGTCCCCTGGTGCTTCAATGTCTAGACAGTGGAGCTGCACTGGAACACATGAACCCACAAGACAGAATTAGGAAGCAGTCACACAGGGGTTATTTACCTGTTCATAGTGGGTCCTAGGCTGCGGCAAAGGCCACCCGGCGATGCACACTGAAATACGGACAAAGAAGATGAGACAGATGGGCCGCTGCAGTTGGTTCAGGCTCGCAGAGCAGAGCAGTCAGCCAGGGGCTCGGCTCACGGAGCATCGTGAAGTCCCCCTCCCTCAGGCAGGAGATGGCACTGAAGACGGCCCAAGCCAGCTGTGAACAACTCTGTCCTATCAGTGTGGGCCCGAAGGTGTGCCTTAGGCTAGAAGCAGGGCGTTTACACTTTAAGGGCTTAGGCGTTCACATCAAGATAGTGGGGCATTCACCATGTTTATAACATTTTGGAAGTTACAGAGTTTTGGGGTCTCCACACAACAAACATTTCACACAGTAGAAGGGTTTCCTTATGACCATAACATTATAACGACGCGTATTCCTCCCAGAAGCCTTGGACAGCAGATTTGGGTTTGTTATCTGGCTGGGACGACATACAGAGACATTTCCAGTCCTGAGTAAGGAGTCTGAAGCTCATGCAGGGGTGACTAGCCCTGTTACCTCCCTAACCAGTGGCGGAGCAGTCACTGAGAGCTCAGTTGGATTGGATAAAAACAAAATCAGACATGGGGCATAATTCCTGGCATATGGACTAATTTTGTGAAATAATATTGATTTCATTTCATTTGTTAAATCAGTGGTTCTCTCTTTTTAATGCTTCAACCCTTTAATATAGTTCTTCATGTTGTGGTGACCCCCCAACCATAAAATTATTTTTGTTGCTACTTCATAACTGTAATTTTGCTACTGTTAATGAATCGTAATGTAAATATCTATGTTTTCTGATGGTCTTAGGCTCTACAGCAGAGGTTGTCAATCTGTGAGTCGTGACCCACAGGTTGAGAACTGCTAGCAAATTCTAAAAGTAGTCCTGAGCATCTTATTGATACATGTCCATCATAGATCAGTAAGGTCTCTACTCCTCTACTGCAGTCTGCCCTCAGTGAGAGACAGGCCAGCAAGCTTCCACCATCAGGGCTGTGCTGGTTACAGGCGGAGGAAAAGGAGCATGCAGGAGCCCTGTGATGGTGCCTAAGGCTTTGTGTGGGAGTTAACTATCATGGTGTTCTCCTCTCATTGGCAAGGGAAGTCTCATGGCAACACTTAACTCCAGGGGCTTGGAAACTACGATCCTACTGTGTGCTCAGCAGAAGTAAAACTGCATCTACTTGGTGAGCAGCACTGATACTTGCCACAGCCCTGAAGAGATGTGAATGAGGGAATTAAAGGTAAAAAGGTGCTTTTAATTTTTCCTAATAAATCTCACACCAAAACAAAACGCTCAGCATTCTCATTTGGGATAAAGCACTCAAAATTATAGCAAGAAGGGCACTCCCACAGTATCAGGAACAGCTTATCTGTCTCCACCTTTCCAATACAGAACGCCCTGTCTTGTCTCTATCAGCTGCTGAAATAAAATTTGCTGAACTAAAGGAAACCGGGACCAGCAGTGTGCATCACCAGGCATCCCTTAGAGAGCCATTTCTCATCTTGGTTCTTATTTGACCAAACTCTGTCTCCCAGGCAGAGCAGGGAGGGCCGGGTGCTTTTCCAGCTCACTGGGTTATGGAGGGTGTTGTGGGTGGCCAGGCTTTCTCAGCTGAGAGCCTTGAGCTTGAACTCACCAATGTCAGGGACTCCAGGAGGGAGCCTCAGGATCAGACTGCCCCAATAATGCATCTCACAGGTGAGGAAACTGAACCCTAAAGAAAGTAACCACTTGTATGTAGGAATATATGCCCTCCTAAGACCCTTTGTTTTAACATTTTCCATGCTTATGTCTGAATTGACTTTGCAACCTGGATAGCCTGGACCCCAGTCACGTGCTTTCTCTGTCTTTCTTTTTTACTATGTTAGCCATGCTGTGAATTGTGAATTGCCATGTGTTTAGGAAAAACTGAGAGAGAGGGCTGCAGGAGAGAGAGAGAGAGAGAGAGAGAGAGAGAGAGAGAGAGAGACAGAGAGACAGAGAGAGAATTATTTAAATAGTTCTGGCAATTCTGCCTGCTATTCTACTAAATGAAGGGAGGAGAATCTGCTGCTCCCAATCAGTCTTCCTCTCTTCCTGACGGCCAAGGCCACTCTGAACTTGGGAATCTTAATCACAATGTCCAAGAACTGCTCAGCTGCATGGCCACAGCGATCTCACGGTACACCGTGCCCTTCTAGAACCCAAGTGATTGATGTCACTGTTGGCAACTGGCCTCTTTTGTCTAAGTGGAATAATACGTACGGAGCAGCTGGGAGTGAGGAGTGCAGGAGAGAGGTTCAGAACCTCCTGCCGGGGGTAGGCAGCCCTCTCAGCTTCTCCTTCAAGGCCAGCTACTGCAGGAGCCGTAGAGCCACTCAGAGCTCTGGCCTGGCTTACTGATCTTGGCTGGACAGACAAGAGTGGAGAGCTCACAAAGGACTTGTATGCATGCACATAAGCCTAATCAACGGACACAGACAACAGGGGGGTGGGTGGGGGCGTGAATGGGAGGTGAGGTAATGGGGGAATAATGACACATATATAATACCTTAGTCAATTAAAAAAAGAGAGAGAGTAGAGAGCTCAGGTGCCCCTACGGTGTGAGGCGGTGAGTCTAGGGCAGCTGCGCCTGCTTGGATAACAGCTGAGGGTTCAGGCTAATGCTGCTTTGTGAGAAGGATGGATTTGTTCACCAGCCGGTGTGCAGCTGCCTCCATGGGACTTTGCCATGAAGAACTGTTTTGTCTGATGGCTATATGGCCACCGGCTTCTACAATAAAGACTCATTCCCACAGCTTTGTCTCTAAGACTGGTGGCTCCTCTGTCTCTAAGACCGGTGTCCAAGAAGGTCCAGCCCCTGGCAGAGGGGCTCAGACCCGACAATTAGTCAAGCAGTGTTTGAGAAGGAGCCTACTCTGACACTTGCTGTAGCCATTAGTGGGATTCAGAAGAATATATGGACGCTGAGCAGCTGTGCTCTAGCTGTGCTCTGACAATAGTCAAGTGAAAAAAGCAAAGTGGATGAATATGTATTTTTTAAAAAATGTGCTACTTAGAAAGGGAGAATGGATATGTATACTTAAAAGAAATCTCAGAAAAATGGACAAACAAAAAAAGAATTCCTAAAGACTTAATAGCCAAAATAGTGTGATTGTCAGGTCTCAATCTCTGCTGGTGAAACTGGAAAGAAAGGGCATGCCTGCCTGCTTCTCCCCCAGGTTCAGATGAGAGAGTGAGGAGGATACAGACAGGTGGCTGGGGAGGGGCAGAGGCCCATGAGCATTTCCTGGGTGTCTGCCATGTACAGCGCCTGAGCCAGGCCCCTCACATGCATTTTCTCCTTCAATTCTTCTCAGCTTCGCTTTGAGCTAGGTGTTTTTATTGTCCCCACTTTATAGATAAGAAAAGGAGAGCAAAGAGAAGTTAGCCGACATGGTCAAATTCATAAAACAACTAAAGTACCAGAAAGAGGGCCTTGTACCTGGGCCTTTGGAATCCTAGCTGTAGCTTCACCCTCTTTTTAAATATATATATATATTATCGATTTTTCACAGAGAGGAAGAGAGGTGGGCAGAGAGCTAGAAACATCGATGGGAGAGAAACATCAATCAGCTGCCCTTCCCTTCCCTTTGTCCCCCCCACCCCCCCACTGGGGATGTGCCCACAACCAAGGCACATGCCCTTGACTGGAATCGAACCCAGGACCCTTCAGTCCACAGGCTGTCCCTCTATCCACTGAGCCAAACCAGTTCCAGCTAGCCTCACCCTCTTGCTGGGCTCCAGGTAAAGCCCTTAGGATCAGGCCACTTGGAGGTAATGCCTCCTTAGAATCCAGTTTCTGACTTCTTCTCCACCCTCTCCTAGAGACACCAGGCCTGGCTGCTAGGCCTGGGCCCCTAGCTTCCTCCCTCCCGGCTTCTCCTCCTCTGGCTGCAGGGAGGAGTGCCCCTGAGCCACTGGCTTTGGATTTGATTGCATATGAAGTCACCTGAGGAGTTTCAAAAACTACTGACCATCAGATTCTGGTTTAATATGTATGGTTTTAGCCCAGCAGCAGAGCCTGCCCCTATAACGGGGCCCTTGGGTAAGGGAGACCCTGACTAATCACAGGAGAGCAGAGGCCCAGAGCCATGGAGAGTCATTGCATCCACATTTCTGTTCAATGCTTCAGCTTTCCCCACTCAGCAAGGGCTGCTCCTGGGCGGTGCTAAGCAAGTATTTGAACAACACTTAGTTCCTAAACCAGCAGTGGCCTGAGCCCCAGGTTCAGAACCTCCTGCCGGGGGTGGGCAGCCTTCTCAGCTTCTCCTTCAAGGCCAGCTACTGCAGGAGCCATAGAGCCGCTCAGAGCTCTGGCCTGACTGTCCAGAGACCGCTCCCGGCCCAGAAGTGTGAGCCTGGGGAAAGGGAAACACAACCAAAGGCGCAGGGGCTGGCCCCTCCTCCTAGCTTCCTCCCCAGGACACAGAGGGCTCCTTTCTTTGCTGCGGTCCTTTTGCCTTTGTACTCTGGGCTCAGGGGAAGTTGAGCCTGTGTCTATCCCTGTGAGATCCAGAGTGAGCTTTGGATTCAAGTTTCTCCATCCACCAAATGGGAATGGTAGTGCAGCTGCCTCCTGGGAGGAAGTGGAAGGCAGGACGGGGGCTGGGGGACAAGATGAATACCCCGCAGCGCGGGCCTCACCCCAGGCCTGGGGTCGGCCTGGCTGTTCAGCTCTCAGAAGCACCTGGACAGACTCGGGGTCTTCACGTTCCTAGACCAAGTGTACTCTCTCATCCCATTGACCCTTTCTCTTTGCTCCAACATAGCCTCCTTGTTTTGGAGTTACATTTACCAGGGAAGTGTGGCCTCCTCATGGCTTGTTCCCAAAGGTAGCCAGGCCCATACCTCCCCCAGCCACCCAGATCCCCTCCCCAACCTCAGTGCTCTGACATCTGAGTAAGAAACAAGGCATCTGCTTGTGTCCAGGCATGAACAGACCCGCCGGGCTGTCTCTGCTCATCCCGATCTCTATCATAAAGGGCACATTCCCGAGGAGAGATACCGCACATTCAGGGCCCTGGGTGCCTGGGGTGCCGAATCCATGAAAGGCAGTGGCAAAAGGAGCAATGCGGGCAGCAGAGGCAGCAAAGAAGAGCTGACGAATGTGGCCATCAGTTCATCCAAGGCAAACCCTTCCAGAGGGGTCAGCAGGGCCCACCCTTCTCACTTCCTGGTTTCATGGCCACTCAACCCCCACCTGAACTCTGAGTCACCAACCAGGGCTGTTAAACCAGGGGCTCCTGTCCTGCCTCCAGCAGCCTAGTCAGTGCTAGTAGCCTGCAGGGGAGAGGGCGGCCCCGCTGCAGGGCCTCACTTCCATGTGCAGGGAAGTTTCCAAACCAAAGCAACCTTCAGACTCAGCTACAGTTGCCCAGTTAAAACATTCTCAACTCCAGACCCTCCCTCAGTAAACTTCTTGTCAGGACCAAGTGTGGGGCCCCAACTTGTCTGTGGCTTGAGGATCCGGCTCTGACTTGTGGGAGCTCTGAGGCGCAGGAAGTTCCGTTCCTGAGGAGTTCCTGGGTCCCCGCAGCTTTGGGCATTAAGGCCACAGCAAAGCGCGGTCATGGGATGGGGGCTTCTACCAGCTGGTCAGTGTGACCCCGTGGTGGGAGGAGCCCCTTCCTGTCTCCCACGGGCTTAAGCTGCTCCCACTGCCCCCACATCAGGTGACCAGCTGCTTTGGGTGATGCTGCTGGATAGTGGGTCTCTGTCCAGCTACTCTTCTGGAACCACAGGCTCTTTTACCTTCTACCATCCCTGATATTTCCCAGGCCCCACTCATCCAAGTTCCCCTCAAGTCTTTCCCTTTTCTCCGTCCTCTCCCCCCTCTCTGCATCTCTCCCTCCTTATGGTGACCTTCTCCTCCCCTTTCCTGCTGCCAGAGGACTGAGGCCACCTTTCCTCCCAGCACAGTGGTCAGGGGCCTGACTAGCAGGTCTCTCTCTGAATCTACAGGGAGCCCAGAGGTGAGCATCAGAGGCCCAAGCCCCTCCCTGTGGTGGGGGGAAGAGGAAACATTTCTACTCCTTCCTAGTGAGCCACCTCCCCACCTCCCCCTCCCACCACAGAAATTAAATGGGGTGGGGGGCGTGCTTCTTACACACACACACACACACACACACACACACACACCCCAGAATGTCAGCTTACAATAAGACAAAGACTCAAGCAAATTATAACTAATAAGATTCAGCTTGTTTGCCAGCTACAGGATCAGCCTGCACATATTAACAGCATCTCTCCCACCCACAACAGCAACTAGAAAATATTACTAAAAGGAAACCATTCACAGTAGCAATAAGGATCACAAAGTATCTGGCATTAACACTAAAACTGCCTTATAAACTTTACGATTTTTAATAAAGGAAGCAAAATGATCTGAATAGTAGAGTACTTCCCATGCTATCTAGGATGACCTAATACAGAATGCCTCATCTTGGATGGCTTTATTAAGACCTAATTAAATTAATGATTAACCTACCAATTCAGTGCAATTCCATTCATTCAAAATTCCAATTGGATTTTTTTTTTGAGGAACTCAATACATCATTAGGGTAACGTTATTTGTTTTTTCTTTTTGTCTGTTGTACGCAGTTTATTTAACAATATGATATATGAGTGGGTACTTTCCATCCTATAAGGGATTGATCTTTTTGAATTTCCCTTTTCATGGTAGTTATAACACTTGCATGATTGACACTAGAATTGCTTTTCCTCACTTCAAGTTTCACACAGAAGGGAAAATGCTCTTCTCTGTTAACATTAGCATGGTCTAGGAGAGTGATCCTCCCTATTTTTTGTCTAAAACCAGTTTTATCAGAGAAACAAAGCAACATTTTCTGTATCTGCCGGATAAGAGTTTATCTTAAGCCAGCATGTCCTGATGCCTGTGTGGGAGTGTGTGTGTGTGTGTGTGTGTGTGTGCGCAGGAGCCAATTCCTATCAGTGCTGGGAGAACGCCCAGAGTTCACAATAGAAAAATCTCCACGACATCAGAAAGTTGTCGGGATACACTATAAGCCTGCATTATTTCAGGTATCAGTTTCTGAATATTGTTTTTTCTTCTCACTTTTAAAAAAATATTTAAAATCATAAAAATATGGGTATAATAGACTTGATTTTCCCATTAAAAAAGGCTTGAATCACCAGCAGTGATGACAAAAAATCCAAAAAAATCCAAAATTCTCTCCCCCAAGAACAAAATTTTTTTTAAAAAAAGCAGAGAGCTGAAACCGGTTTGGCTCAGTGGATTGAGCGTCGGCTTGCAGACTGAAAGGTCCCAGGTTCGATTCCAGGCAAGAGCATGTGCCTTGGTTGTGTGCACATCCCCAGTAGGGGTGTGTAGGAGACAACTAATCAATGTTTGTCTCTCAGCAATGTTTCTAACTCTCTATCCCTCTCCTTTCCTCTCTGTAAAAAATCAATAAAATATATTTTAAAAAGCAAAGAGAAACCAGATATTTAAATCAACTGTTTTTTTTGTTTGTTTGTTTGTTTTTTTAACAAAAACCTATGCTTTTTATTGTTTCTTTAAATAGCAGTCTACCCTTCTGTGGCTTGGAAGTAGCAGTTCCATCTAGGAATAAAAAGAGCCCAGATTCTTGGCTTTCAGTACAAAGGGTCCAAGAACATGAGAGGGGGAAAAGTGATGCCCTCACCATGCTACAAATCCTCCACAAACTTTTCTAGGGAGTCTGCTGTGGTGTCACCCACCGGGGACAGCTCACCGGGCAGTGCCCTCCTGTGGGATCCTCAGCTGTGGTGGCATTGCGTGTCTGGGCTTCCCCACGGGCCCCTGATCTATGGAGTGGGCCATGGTGACTGGGAGTGCTGGGCGGGGAGAACCAGTCTGGGGGGAGACGTGGTGTGGTGAAGGCTGGGGCGAATCCGTGGTGATGGGCTGGAATGTGGAGGCTGGGACTGGGGTCTGGAGACTGGACAGGGGCCGGAGATCGCACCTGGCTACCGAGGGGTGTGGCCGTCTGCTGGCCAGCGAGGGGGGCCTGTGGCTCTCTGAGGGCATGTGCCGCTGGGGCTCCTGGGGTTTGTTAGGACAGGAGACAGGCCAAGAGACGTTGTTGGAGCTTTAGAGATTTTATTGGTAATACACACCAGTATATCCATTTCAGCAAGCAAGGTTAGGGAGGGCGGGATATTTATGTGTGTGTGTGGGTCGGATGTGGGTGCGGGCGGTGGCAGGAAGCTGGGTCTAGAGTTGCTTTTCTCGGCTGCTTAGCTGTCTCTTGTGACACCTGAAATGAGAATAACAGGAAAACGGCAGAGGGGGCAGGAGCCTCCTGTTGTTGGTGCTCAGCCGGGACAGGTGCTGCTCCTGCTGCACCTCCCGTGCGATCTGCCGGCCACTCCATGGCTGCCGGCGGGCCTGCGCGGGGGCGGGGGCTGGCACCTGGCTAGTGGGCTTCCCGGTGCAAACTGTGGGGGGGCTGAGTTCTGGCCACTCGGGAGAAGCCGGCTGGAGACATGCTCACAGGCGAGGGCTGGGGCAGGGTCGGGGGTGTGGTGTGCAGGGGGCTGGGATGCAGTGTGCGGGCCGGGGCGGTGCAGAGGGGAAGGCACACTCGGCGCTGCTGCTGGCGCACCCGCGGGCGCGGGAGCTAGGCGTGCTGCCGGCGGTACTGGATCTCCTGCTGGCGGAGCTTCTGCTTGATGTTGAGGCAGTAGGGCACGGGGCACGGGTTTTCCTGGCAGTGCTTGGCGTGGTAGCAGCACAGGGCGATGAACTGCTTGCACACGCCGCAGCCTCCGTTGTTCTTGCGCTGGCAGGCCTTGGTGTGCTCCATGACCCGCTTCATCTTCTGGCAGGTGGGCAGCGGGCAGCCGGCGTTGCGGCACTGGCGGGCGTGCCGCAGGGACTGGATGCAGCGCTGGATGGCATGGCGCCGCCACTCCCGGAGGCTCCTGAACTGCGGCTGCCCCTGGTTGCCGCCATCATCCAGGCCCAGCCCCACCTTCACCATCTCGTGGGGGTGGCCCTTGGCGGTGTAGCAGCCGATGCAAAGGTCGTAGGTGCACTGGGGGCAGTGCCAGCGGGTCTCCATCTGCTTCTGGCACTCACCGCAGGTGTGGACACGGAGGTCCTGATCCAGCACCCCCGCCATCGCTAAGGTGACTAGAAAAGAGCAGAGAGAGGAGAGCCTCGGTCAGCAAACACCTACAAAACCTCAGAAATAACAGGGTGGTGCCGGCTCTGTCAGAGCCACAGGGCAGGGCCCCAGGGCAGAAACGCCATTTCACCTGCACACTTACCTTCCCAGCGGGCCACGCCACAAGTCACGGGTTTGTCGGGCTACTTGCTACACTCCTACGTCCTAACAGGTGCGCCTAAGGAACAGCCACGCGAGCACCTTGGGGTCCCTGAGTGACCGGGATGAACTACAAAAAGGGGGCTCCGGGGAGAGAACGGCACTGGCTGCCCCACAGGCCGCGCGGTGAGCTTCCTCCTTAAGTCAGCGGCAGCTACCATGCCTGTGAGGCAGGAAACTGAGGCCGGCGGGTGCACAAAGCACAGGCCGCCGTCTCTTCCCAGGAGAACAGTTGTGTCGCTACTGAGAGGACCAGCTCCCACCGCCAGAAGAGCTAAGGGGATGCACTCAGGCTGAGACCAAACACCAAGGATTCCACCAAACAGCCCCATTCTGAGCATCCGGCAACTTCTACCCCTCCGAACCCACCCAGACGTTCAGCTCGCCTACTCAAACAACCTCAGAAACTGTCCTTTAGGCCGAAACCGGTTTGGCTCAGTGGATAGAGCGTCAGCCTGTGGACTGAAGGGTCCCAGGTTCGATTCCGGTCAAGGGCATGTACCTTGGTTGCGGGCACATCCCCAGTAGGGGGTGTGCAGGAGGCAGCTGATCGATGATTCTCTCTCATCGATGTTTCTAACTCTCTATCCCTCTCTTCCTCTCTGTAAAAAAATAAATTACATATATATATATGAAACTGTCCTTTAGGTCATTTGGCCTCTGACAGTCGCTTCGGCTTAGACCACATTCCCTTTGCTAAGACCAGTCGCTTTCCGTTCCATCCTTGCCCAGGGTCCTGACCTGCCCAGAGAATTTCCTGCACGAAAAGCCCCTTTAGAGTCTTTTAAAACCTCTGGCACCATTTGGGGGTTGAGCCCATCTGCTTTCCAGAAGAGGGTGATCAATTAATTTATAATTCTCTATCACTTTGGCTCTCGTGCCTGTTAGGTCTGATCAAATAATCAAATTGATACCCCTCCCCCGGGAAACTGACTTAAAGATCATTTTGCAGCCGACATTCCCTTCAGCTTAGACCGCATTCCATTTGCTAAGACCCAGTCACTTTCCCCTCCGGACCCGCCCAGAGAATTCCCAATGAGGAAAAAGCCCCCCGCCTAGATCTTAAAAACTCTGACTCCCGGATCTCCGAGTGCTGGCACCATTAGGGGGTCAGCCCATCTACTTTCTAGATGACCTAGTAAATTTTTAATTCTTTACCTCTTTTGTCCTCGTGCAGTTCCTCCTTTGCTCCTTCGCTCCTTCTGCGACCCGAATGGAAGCCTCCCAGCTTTAAGAAGGAAGATAACTGGCAAAACTTCCTGGTTCCTTTTAAGCAGTTGCCTAAAGGCAGAAATTCCTGAAGAAATGCGGGATCGGCTCCTCCCCTTCGCCGCCTCCACCCTCTTCCTTGTCTCCCCTCCCTTCCCCCAGCCCTGCGCTGGGATCTCAAGGGTGTGTATTCCTCCCAGAAGCCTGGGACAACAGATTTGGGTTTGTTATCTGGTTGGGGCAACATACAGAGACATTTCCAGTCCCGAGTAAGGAGTCTGAAGCTCATGAAATTCTCTGGGCAGGTCAGGACCCCTGTTACCTCCCTATCCAGTGGCGGAGCAGTCACTGAGAGCTCAGTTGGGCTGGATGAAAACAAAATCAGACATGGGGCATAATTCCTGGCATATGGACTAATTTTGATTTAATTTTTTCATTTGTTAAATGCATCCATCAGACCGCTGTGATACGATTGACTGTAGGTTTGGAAAAACTCAGGTTTGTGTTTACATGTATGCACCCATCCCATACATACTTCAGAAGGAAAGCCCTTTCTAAAGCTTATTAGAACGAAAATAATCACGTTTCCCAAAAGGAGGGAATTAACTTTAGTTCTGTTGGCATTCCAGTGCACTTGCCAAGCAGTCTGAGCTTCTGGTTTCTAGATGTGCTTAGATTTCGAGAGGAAAATAAGTAACATGGAAGGCATTTCCCAGAAGAAAAATCCAAGTTGTCGCTCAATTATAATATTAGAAACACAAAAACGATCTCACTAAAATATATGGCACAAAAATCAGGTCTTATCAATTCTGTTTCCACTCTCTCTGCCTGTTGCCACTCATCAAGTGTTTCTATAAAGTGGAAACACTACTGGTTTTAGCAGGAGTAGTCTAGGTTGTGCTGTATAACAAGCAAACCCCAAATCACTGAGGCTTATATCTTGATCATTGTTGAAGCTAAGTAATGGGTATAGAAGTTTTAATATATTATTATCTCTGCTTTTTTATAGGTATGGTGTTGTTGTTTTTGTTTTTTTAAACCTCTGTGGCTTAAAGCAACAGAATTCTGGGTTTTTTTGCTCACACTGCATGTCCATCAAGGATCAGTAAGGTCTCTACTCCTTACTGCACTCTGCCTCAGTGAGAGACAGGCCAGCAAGCTTCCATCATCAGGGCTGCGCTGGTTACACGCGGAGGAAAAGGAGCATGCAGGAGCCATGTGATGGTGCCTAAGGCTTTGTGTGAGAGTTAACTATCACGGTGTTCTCCTCTCATCGGCAAAGGAAGTCTCATGGCCACACTTAACTCCAGGGGCTTGGAAACTACGATCCTACTGTGTGCTCAGCAGAAGTAAAACTGCATCTGCTTGGTGAGCAGCACTAATACTTGCCACAGCCCTGAAGAGATGTGAATGAGGGAATTAAAGGCAAAAAGGTGCTCTCATAAGCCATCATTTTCCCCAGTGGGTTCATCCCAAAACAAAATCACTCAGCTTTCTTGTTTGGGATAAAACACTCAAATCTATACTAGGAACAGGAGTCCCAAAGTATCAGGAACAGCTTATCTGTCTCCACCTTTCCAATACAGAGCGCCCTGTCTTGTCTCTATCAGCTGCTGAAATAAGATTTGCTGAACTAAAGGAAACCGGGACCAGCAGTGTGCATCACCAGCCATCCCTAGAGAGCCATTTCTCATCTTGGTTCTTATTTGACCAAACTCTGTCTTATATGACCTCCCCAGGCAGAGCAGGGAGGGCAGGGTGCTTTTCCAGCTCACTGGGTTATGGAGGGTGTTGTGGATGGCCAGGCTTTCTCAGCCGAGAGCCTTGAGCTTGAACTCACCAATGTCAGGGACTCCAGGAGGGAGCCTCAGGATCAGACTACCCCAATAATGCATCTCACAGGTGAGGAAACTGAACCCCAAAGAAAGTAACCACTTCTGTTTGCTTTAGGAGTAGATAGCCTCCTTAGAATCCAGTTCTGTCTTCCTCACCCACTCCTAGGCCTTCACCAGGCCTTGCTGCCAGGGCTGGGCCTCTAGTCCCTCCCTCCCGGCTTCTCCAGGTCTGGCTGCCAGGGAGGGAGACGTGCCTCTAAGCCACTGGCCTGCGCTGTATGCTACATCGCTGACCTCAATAACCCAGGAGGTGGGGGACAGTGATACTGTCTTAATTTTGCAGGTGAAAAACAGAACTCGGAACGGCTCAGGGCCTTGAGGCCAGGCAGCTATCGCTAGAGATGATCAGAATCCACCCTGCACTCTCTGTACCCCACCGTCGTCTTCAGCCTGACTTGTTTTCTCTGGGGACTTCCAGACGTGCTGCTTCTCTCCTGCCTTTGCTAGCACCGTCCAGCCCAGGCCTTCCCCATCTGCTTCCTGAAATGCTGTCACCGCTTCCCAGTTATCCTTTGCATCTACTCTTTAAAAAATCCGTTTTTACTGATTTTAGAGGGAGAAGAGGGGGGAGAGAGAAACATCGATGTGAGAAACACTGATTGGTTGCCTCCCCGACTAGAGATTGAACCCCCAACCTGAGTATGTGCCCTGACTGAGAATCAAACCTGCGACCCTTCAGTGCATGAATTAACGCTCAGCCAACTGAGCCACAGCAGCCACAGCTGCCTCTACTCCACTTTGCGCCAACTTGCCGGTGTCCAGCTGCTGTGTCATTCTCCCATAGTGCCCGGCGAGGACGCTGAAACACTCCCCTCCGTCTCCAACACAACCACCGCACACCTAGACACTCAGATGTGGCGAGCTAACATCTCCCACTTACTGAGTGCTGCGGGCCCCGCTTTATATACACATTGCACTTAATGCTCACAATGAAATGAGGTTCATCGATTTTTTCAGATCCCCAGAGAGGCCAAAGTGAAAGCCAAAGTGGGAGTGTGGAGACTTCTCGGTAAAGGAAGCCTGGACTGGGTTCCCAAGGCCCCTTCCAGCTGTGTATCATCCTATGAGCCGAGAGCCACTGTGTCCTCAAGCCTCCCCGTCAGCCACAGGGCGGGCCTGGCTTCCATTCTTCCCGACAAACAAGATGTGAAATGGCACCATCATCCTTGGATGTCTGCTTTCCAAATGTACTGTTTTAGCCGTGCTGGTCTACGCAGCACCCCGAGTTCGCCTAGAGCACATGTGTCAAACACAAGGCCCGCGGGCCAAATCCGTCCCGCCAGGCCTTGCAATGTGGCCCGCACCGCGCTGTCATCACTGCACTCCGCTGCGTTTCCATCACAATGACAGTTTATGACTGTTCAGTAAACCATTCGGCCCACGATTTAGGCTGGATTTTAGATTTTGGCCCCTTCTCTGATTGAGTTCGACACCCCTAGCCTAGAGCCTCCGGGGGCTCCAGGCAGAGAGAGATCCTGTTCCCTTCCTCCTCAAGGCTCAGGCCCCGCTCCCCTCTTCCTCCCCCATTCCCTGGGGGAGAGAGTCAGCTGAGTTCCTCTCCTGTGAGTGTGCAGCCTGAGGCAGGCCCTGGGCTTGGCCGAACTGGAGCCCGGAATGACGTGACCTCCCTTTTGATGTCTGATTTCAAAGCACAGGTCTGAGATTCTATCCTACCTGCACATTTCTGAGCCTTCATTTCATTTTCCATCCCCGCCTTAAGCATTCCAGTCTGCCCATTCCAATCTCACCCCCCCCCCCCCCCCCCCCCGCGCCTTCCCCTGCCCTCCACAACCTCTCATCCTCTGTCTTTTTTTTTTTTTGGAAGATATTTCACAGTTGAAAAAAGAAACATAAAAATTAAGACTTCCTTGTGATAAGAAAGTGTGTACAAAAGAAGTAAAATCCTGAATTCATTTTTTAAAATATGTGTTTTTTTTGTGCCTGTTTTAAAAAAAATACGTTTTTATTGATTTTTAGAGAAAGAGGGACAGGGAGAGTGAGATAAAAACATAGATGAGAGAGAACTATGGATGGGCTACCCTGACTGGGAATTGAACCGGTGACCTCTTGGTGCTTGGGATGACACCCAACCCCGGGAGCCACACACGGGCTGGCCCAAGTTCCTTAAAACCCGTCATTGAGGAATGGGCATCTCTGGAACCATCCTTTTCACCGGGCTGAGAGCTGCAAAGGATAAAACCCATCAGAGACTCAGAATAAGAAACACACGCATTCATTATGAGCAGCTGCACGCAGCTGAGTACCCGGAGGGATGGGGGAGAAAGGGCTGTCTGGAAAGGGCTGGTGCCAACAGCACCCAAGGAACCAGGCCCAGTGCCATGGGTGGCGCCTACCAGGTCCGCATCCCCTCAGGCAGGGCCATGTGGGAGGACTTTCTGAGCGGCTCTCCCCAAACCCTCCCCGGAGACAGTCCAAGGGCCCTCCGTGTGCGGCCTGCCTGACAGGTGGGGGAGGGGCAGGACCCAGCTGGTCAGCGTGCAGCCCCCCAGGGATGGAAATCCTGCCAACTGCAAAAGAAGGCCCCTTCACTTCCCGTTGGACCTTCCATTTGTATTTAGCCAATAGATATATGGGACACCCAGTTAAACTTGAATTTAAGATAATGTTTCAGTATAAATACTTTCTAAAGACTGCATGAGGCATATGTGCATCAAAACATTTTTATTCAATATCAGAAGTTCAAATATAACTGGTTCAAATATAATTTTATCTGGCTCCCCGCCCCTCGCAGTCTTCACCTCTGATGGCCTTCCCAGGGAATAGTTATCTTCCCGGTGTGCTCTCCAGCAGAAAGCTGTGCACTGCTGATTCTCCTGGGATTCCTGGTAAAAAGGCAGACTTCAGGCCACACGGACTGAATAAAATCTCCAGGGGTGGGATGAAGAAATAAGCATTTTGTCAAGTTGTTGTCTCGGTGATTCTGACACACATTTGCACTGGTTATCTCTTGCTTCTGAACAGATTGCCCCGAAACACAGATGGAAAAAAGCCATCTCTTACGCCCAGTGTGTAAGGCCGGGAACTCGGGAGGGACAGCTCTGTGACGCTGGCTCAGGGGCTCGTGATGCTGCACCGGGTGCGGGTACAAGCAGCGGCTTCTCACGAGGCGGCTGGTGCCGGAGAAGCTGCCTCCCAGGTCCCTCACGTGGCCTCTCAAGGCTTCGAGTCTGTGCTGGCTGCTCGCTGG